TTGGGGAAAGCTAGGTAAGCCATGAACTGAGGAGAAAATTGCGGTTATCCATGTATACAACCCCACTTCCCATTATGCTCGGTCAAAGAAGTATTTGTAAAGATATATTCGGCTGAAATGTTCAAAACATATCCGTACTAATTTATTTGTTCAAAATATTAAAATAAATAAAAACTATTCAAAACTAATTTTGTTTATTTGAAATACCAAATAAATTTCCAACAATTTATTGATCACTGATCCGGTTCTACAAGTGATTAAAGTTAAAGCACTAACAACAACACCGACCAAAGTCACGAAACTAAAATAATAGATAAACTCATACTCCCTCCGTCCCTTTTTATTTAGCCAAACACCTTTTTTCAAGTCAAAGTTGTTCAACTTTGACCGATTATATATTTATACACGATAATATTGATAATATGAAAATTATATGAAAATGTTCTTTGTTGAAAATACTATCATAAAAGTATAAATTTATTATGTTTTACATAAATATGTTAATTAAAATAATGGATCAAAGTTAAGCATCTTTGACTGGAAAAGTCAAAGATGGCTAAATAAAAAGGGACGGAGGTAGTAGTTTTTTATGAAATACTGAACATGTATCATATCATTGTATCTCACAGATAGGAGCAGATGAACTGATAATTTCATATGAAATACTCCATGGTCGCTCATGAATTAAAAGTTGTTCTATGAATACTCTCTTTTTGTATTATATACCTAGTACGAAGTATATGGTAGATCAAATGATCAATAGAGAACTTCAAATAAAAGTGTGTAAATAAACACGAATTTAATTAGTATATATAAGAAATATAACTTGTACTAGTATATTGTTTACATTGCTCTTCAACCAAAATTTGTCTTTGTTCTTATAATGTCTTATACTAGTATATAAATAATACGGAGTAAATAATAAATAAATATAATAATTATAATAATTGTTATCATAAGATGATTAACATCATACCAAGAAAGAAAATCGCACTTTTAGTCCTTGAAATAGTAACGAAAATGAAATGTCGGACCCGTATTTCTGGTATTGTAAATGTCACCCCTCAATTGTCCAAATTGTTGTAAATATGGTCCTTTAAGGGGTGAAATGTACTCTCGCCCACATTGTATATTTCATCCCTAAAAGGACCACATTTACAGCATTTATGACAATTGAGGAACGACATTTACAAACTTGGGAATACAGGTCCAACATTTCATTTTCGTGACTATTTCAGAGGCTAAAAGTGTCGTTTTCCCTGCCAAGAATTGATCAATGGTAAGATCACGTGACAACACTCCTATAGTCCTATGTACTCCCTCCGATTCAAAAACAAGTTCCACCTTTCCTTTTCGGGCAGTTCCAAAAATAAGTTCCACTTTCAAACCTTTTCTTATTTGGCAAATTATCTACATCAAAACAGTCCAAACAATGTCAAACAGTGCCAAACAGTGTCCAAACAGTGCCATACAGTGCACTCCACAGTAAAGTCAAATTTCTTTTCTTAATATGTGTGAAGTCAAATGTTAAACTTGTTTTTGAATCGGAGGGAGTAGCTATGGAGTACGTATACCATACACCCGGCTGTACAGGTGGGAACCGTACAGCCAGGTATTTTTGTAATTTCCCTAAACTTTCGGTCCATTTAATTTTTCTTTTCATGAGCCATTTAACTTCAGACGTTGGGTGCTTGCTACGCTGGGTGCCTGCTACGCTGCCCACGTGGCTATGTAATTCAGACGTTGCCCACCCATGTTCTTTTAACTTTACCTTGCTTCACTTCAATTGACTAGTCTTTCTCATTCTCTTTATCATATCGCTTATCATCGCCATGCTTATTCTTCATCTTTTTTTTTTCTTTTTTATATATTTATAATTCTTAATTTATATCAAATTAAATCTTACAAATTTCGAACAAATTATTTAATAAATTATCAATAAACAAATCTATAAGAACTCTAACAATTTTATATTAAGTTTCGTAATATTACATTAATGCACATTTATGTTAAACATTATGCTCATATTACTATATAAAAAAAATCATTTCATTCTACTAAGCATTAAGAGTTTAATAATGAGCATCGTGACCTCTGCTTTATATTTTCTAATTCACTTTTCGTTCTTCTTCTTTTTTCTTTTATAAAAATTTATTGGATTATATTTATAATCATTTTCTATGAACTTCAATATGCAAATTTAATACTCCGTATAATATTGTACTTTTAAAATATGCATTGATATGACATTTTTAAAAGAAATACGTAACTTAGAAATACGTATGCATTTATAAAATATGCATTTATCATGATCTGTGCTCCCATATCTAAAATCAACTTCCACGTGAATCTAATGTAATATGGTACTTTAGAAATACGCAATCATAATACATTTTAAAATGAGTATAACATCAGTATCAAATGAGCATACGTAACTTACAAATGAGCAATAATGATATGAAAATCGTAAACTTGGTTAATTGAAATCAAAACATTTTCATTGAGCATCAAATTGCGTATCATGATATTTGCCCTCGTGTATATAACCAACTCTTATACGATTATAATGTAATACGATACTTTTGAAATATGCATTGATATCACATTTTAAAAATGAGCATAACATCAGTACCGATTGAGCATATGTGGCTTACAAAATAAGCTTTAATATGAAAATAATAAGCTTTATTATTTGAGCATTAAGATCTCTACTCTAGTGTTTATAATCAACTCTCATGCAAATCTAATGCAATATGATAGTTTTGAAATATGTATTGATATGACATTTTAAAATGAACATAAAACAAATACCAGATGAGCATACATAACTTACAAAATGAGTATCAAAAAATTCAAAAGCCCGTTTGAACTTTTTAATGTGTTCAAATATTCATTTGTGTATGCTCATTTCTTTTAATAGTTATACTCATTCGAAAATAACATAAACTCCTTTCTATAATAATGTACATCTAGTAAGTAGATTCGTTATTAACAATTTAATAAACTGTGATTAAATATTTTCTAATTCACTTTCGTTTTTTTATTTTTTTTATAAAAACTTATTAAATAATATCAATAATCAAATTCATATGAACTTCAATATGTGAATCTAATATAATATGATACCTTTGAAATATGCATTGATATAACATTTTGAAAATGAACATAACATTAAAACCAATTGAGCATATGCAACATATAAAATGAGCATTGAGATATACTTCGTATGAAAATAGTAAGTTTGTTAGTTGAGAATCAGAGCATTTTAATTGAGTATCAAACCTCCGACATTGAGATGAAAATCACGATTTCTAGTGAATGAGTATTAACGAACTGTTAATGAGCATCAGACCTATTATGTTGAGTATTAAGCGTCTAATATTCAGAATCGTGATCTCTGCTTCATAACTTCTAATTCACTTTCTTTTTGTTATTTTTTCTTTTATAAAACTTATTAAATTATATTTATAATCAACTGCTATGAGTTTTAATTTGTGAACCTAATGCAAAATAGAATAGTACTTTTAAAAAATACATTGATATGACATTTAAAAAAATTAGTATAAGATGAGTACCAGATGAGCATAGTAACTTACAAAATGCGCATTGATATGAAGATCGTAAGATTTGTTAGTTGAATATCACGACATTTTCATTGAGCATCAAACATCCTCTATTGAGATGAAATTGACGGTTTCTATTAAATGAGCATTAATTAAGTTTTATTGAATATTAGACCAATAATTATGTTGAGTATCAGGAGTCTGATATTGAGCATCGAGATCTCTGCTTCATATCTTATATTCACTTTCTTTTTCTTATTTTTTCTTTTATAAAAATTATTAAATTATATCTATAATAAACTCTTATGAAACTTCAATATGTGAATATAATGCAATATAGTGCTTTTGAAATATGCATTGATATGACATTTTAAAAATGAGCATACATGAGTATACATTGAGCATATGTAACTTACAATATGAGCATCGATATGAAAATTATAAGTTTTTTTAATTGAGCATCAAGACATTTTCATTGAGCATCAAATTTCTTCTATTGAATATTAGAAACATGCAATAGAGTATCAAGGTATGTGCTCGATCTAGTATCTATAATCAACTCCTACGTGAATCTTACGCAATACGATACTTTTTTAGTATGCATTGATATAGCATTTTAAAATGAGCATAGATCCAGTACCAAATGAGCATACAAAACGTAGCAAATGAGCAATGATATTGATAGAGTACCAAATAATCTATCAAATATGAAAATCATAAGATTTGTTAGTTGAGCATCAAAACATTTTCATTGAATATCAAACCTCTTCTATCGAATATCAGAAACATGCAATTTAGTATCATGGTCTATGCCCCCATGTGAATTTAATATAAAGTTTTTGAAATATGCATTAATATGACATTTTAAAATGAGCTAAAAACCACTACCAGATGAATGCACGTAACTTACAAAATGAACATAAAAAAATTCAAAAGCTCGTTTGAATTCTCTAATGTGTTTAAATGTTCATTTTTGCACATGTATCATTTCTCATTTTAGTACGGAGCATAACACAAAATTCATGTTAGTAATTAACACACAATATTTAATAAACTAATAAATATTCATCTTAAATTAAAAATAGAAAAATAAAAAATAATACCTAAAATGTTTATAATATACATAAATAAATAAAAAACTTAATTTAGACGTTTGATTGGAAAAGGAAAAAAAACTAGGACATTAAATAATATATTTATAATATTTTATATTATACTACGTATTGAATATAGAATGAAAGTGGAAGGTTTGTTTTTTAAAGTGATGAAAGTGGAAGGTTGCTAACGAAAAACAACCAGAAAAGAAAGGAGAAAAAGCAATATAAAACAAAAAACAAAAACATACGAAGCAGCAAACAATAAAAACAAAAAGTAAACTGAAAACAAATGAGAACATACGATCATAGCAACACTAAGCACGGAAGGTGGGACTTGGGAGGAGTCTGCAACGGAACGGATGAAATAGAATGCCGATCGTACAAATGGATGCCTGTACTTTAAAACAATTACAAATGGATGTCTGCACTTTAATAGGTACATCCGGGTGTACCTTATAATTTCATGTAACTATGAAGGATGATCGTAGGGTACGGTCATGAGAGGTGACAAAGTTTTAAGGTTGCCATGCATAAACCCGAAATTCCGAAGGACCTGATTGTCACCAAAATTCAACGCTCTCTCCATCCCTTCCCAGCAAGAGTCGCCGCCGTACTCCGGGTTGTGGTTCCCACTACACGGTTGACATCCCGTGAAGTGCGTTATGAAGGGCCGCCTCCACCGGCCCTTCCGCTCCCCGCCTTCCGCCACGTGCGGCTCCCACGCCGCCGCGTAGCTCTCACTGACCGCCTCCGCGTGCCTCCGCCGCAGCGACGGCTCTCCCCTCTCGATCTCCGCGTACCTCGCCGTCAGGGGCGTAGCTGGGGGTGGGCCAGACCTGGCCCTGGCCCAGCCCAAATTTTAAAAATGTCTTTATTTTTAGTGTAAAAAATCCGTGTAAAAAAATTTTCAAAAATATTCTTTGTACCGGTCCAGTGTGGCCCAGTGTCCTGGCTCCGCCCCTGCTCGCCGTGATGTTGTCCAGCCTCCCTACGATCTCGACCCAGTAGCCGTGCAAAGAGTACTCGTTCTCCACGTAAATCTTGTCCGTCCATTTCTTGCCTCCTTTCAGCAGGAGGTAAACCAGCCCCGACTGATCGTCCGATTCCGGGAACATCTTGTCCTTCAATGTGGACCGTTGGATCTCGCCCCATTTTTCGTAATCGGGAGATTGTGGGCCCATTTTCGCCCATTCGTCTAAAAACCCCATTGACCACTGGCAATTCCTGATCAGAAAAATCCCGGCGTTGACCGCCACCCAGCTCTTCCTCACAACCGCCGCCGGCCAACCGTGGACGACGAAATTGTGGTTCCGATACCTCTCCAGAGGAATCTTAAAATCCATGTCGGTGAAGATGGCGTCGGAGTCCATCCAAAGGACCCACTCTGTTTCCGGGTGGGCCAGCATTGCCGCCCGGACCAGAGGAATCTTGGCCCAATAAAACCGCATCTCCGGGTGGAAGAAGGCGTTGTTGTAGAAGATATCGTGGCCGTGGATTCTGCAGTAGTCCACCTTGTTCTTGAAGCACCTCAGGAGCAGGTGATCGCCGGCCGGGTTCTTGCAGGGGCCGGGCTTTGATCCGGTGAGGAGGAGCACACGGTTCTCTACTCCGGCCGCGAATGAGGGGTGGAGCTTCAGCCACTCGGCCCTCTTTCCGTCCCAGTCAACGATGGGTCTATGTCTATTGATGGTGTAATTGAGCTCTGGGTCGTCGTAAAAGGTCTTCTCCGGTGGGTCGGAGCTGCGGTCTACGGCGGATCGGTCAATGGAATAGATATGTTCTGTCAGTTTTGATCTCAGGGAGTGATCGGTGAAAGACCAAACGACAGAAACTAAAAAAATAGAGACAAGTAGGGTGAGAGTGACTGACTTTTCGCGACTGAAGGAAGACTGGTTGGCCTTCTCCGCCGTGGTGGCGGTGGCGGAAGCCATGGCTAACGTGTCCCGAGAAAGGAAGGAGGGAAGAAAAGAATCCGGCTTTACCGTTTTTGTTGTCGACAATATTAGAGCATCTTCAGAGAGTGTCTCTTGATTTTTTTAATATATGTTTTTTTTTGGAAGATTGGAACAAGAGAAGGTGACACGATTATTAAGAAAAGTGGGTTTGTGTGGTTGATATTAAATTGATAAAGTAAGAATGATTTAGAGCCATACAAACTTTACCAAATTTGGTATGGGACAATCTTAGTGGGACTTCCCGAAAAGGTAAAATGGGACAATCTTAGCGGGACGGAGGGAGTAATTCAAAGTATGAGTCAAATGACAAAAAAAAATTGACAACCGTTATCCCGCGAATCAGACTCGGAATTAATCGTCGAAGCAATATAATTCGCTGATCTATAAAAGGGAAACCAAAAGCCAAAAACGGTCACCATATTCCTCTCATCCCCATATCCAAAATCAACGTCTTACAAACTGGAAAATAACAGAAAAAACACTTCCCAGAACATGTTGATAACTTGATATACTACTCCGTGTTGTACTCGTACGCAATTAAGCAGTAAAAAATCACTTTTCCTTTGAATGGGATCATGTAGATTTAGATTTTCTTCTCATAAGAGATTTATTTAGTGGTATTAACTATTAAGAGAATGAAAAGTATGAAATTCCTAATCGAGAATATTTATTCTTGTTTAGATAATTTTCTCTTTCCTAAAATAATACCAAAAATAAAATTTATACCAAAAATATGATTGAAACTAATATAAGTGCTCTGTATAACATCATAACCACTATGGTGTAAAATTAAATATAATTCTATTCACTAAAATTTACTAATGTAATTTTTTCTTTAAAATCACCCATTATCACCATTTATCCATATAAATGCGTTATTATTTCTACGAAAAATTCATACAAATAATTTTTGTGCTCTTTCCTGCAGTAATATTGAATAAAACGTAGGAAAAAATGTGTTTAAAGTTAAATTTTAAAGGAAATTGCAAATCTATATTGATTCAACTGTTTAAGAATACAACAAGGAGCCAGAGTCATAAACAACTCTACCATTCGTCATAGAAAGGACAACCCCTTTCCAATTAACTTCATTTATGGCCTTCCAAATACTCGAACGATGTTTTCTTTTGGACTCAAATTTGTTGGTCTGATCTGTTTAAGTCTGGTCTGGTCTGGTCTGGTGTGAAATGGTCTAGTAAACGTCTGGTCTCTGTGTATTTTATAATTATAAAAGTCTGGTCTGGTCTAATCTGTCTCTTCTTCTACCTGACAAAGGCGACATTCCACCAGTAGGGCCATGTGCCTGCTCCGTAGATTGACCGGTGTGGGCAGTACATTGGTCATAAATCTGCCAAAAGAAGGGTTTTATTTTTTGGGGAATAAAAAACACCCAAATATATGTCCACACTGACCAGCCTGCTAAGACCCAAAACTCCCCCCTTCAATTTTCCTTTATCCACTCTTGATCGTGTACCTTTCGCGTGAATCGCCATTCCACAAGTAGCCATTCAGCACAAACTTTTTAGTAATAGGAATAGTCTCTACATTCATGGCAAACATCCTGGTAAGTTTTGGAGATGTGACCATATTGCTCCCCGAACCTGGTAACCAACTATCCTGCCAGATTGAAATATTGATTCATTTGGCAACTCCCCACCAAGGCCCTTCGTTTATCAGCCCCCCCGAGCCTCAAATAACACTCCTCCAGATAAAAAGATAGATAACTCCATATCTTAGCATTCAGAAATGAGGAATTAGGATAATACTTGGCTTTGAAAATTCTGCTTACCAAGGATGTGGAGTCTATAGTTAATCTCCAAGCTTGTTTACCTGACATTTCTATTTTAAACTCTCTTAAAGATTTGTACCCTAATCCTCCCTGTTATTTGGAGGCACAAAGAGCCTGCCGACTCCTCCAGCGGATACCTCTCTCAGTAATATTTCTTCCCCGCCACCAATAGCCATTGTTTACTCTCTATATCCGCACACAAATCTAGCAGGAGAAGAAAAACATTCATCGCATAGGAAGACATTGTTTGAATAACAATTTTAGGAGAACCTCTCGATCTCCTTGTTTTCGAAAGAAATTTATTGTTCCACCACTGTATTTTTTCAAAATTTTATCCCTGAAATACCCCATAATTTCAACCTTACGCCTGCCAATCAACGTTGGCAACCCTAAATACTCGGGGTTCTAACCCTTCATAGACAATCCCAATATGTGGCATGTATCGGTTTTAACAGCATCATGAACATTTGGGCTTCAGGAAATACTTGATTTAGAAAAAATTAATTTTCTGACCTGACCTAGCCTCATAGTGCTTCAATATTCCTTTGACTTCATAACACTGCTCCTGATTAGCCCTGAAAAAGGAAAGCTATCATCTGTAAACAAGAGATGAGATACCCGCGATGTTCCTCTTGCAATAGAAATCCCATGAATTTGCCTAAGATTTTCTTTTCTCTGAATTAGAAAGCTCAAACCTTATGCCACCAGGACAAATAAATATGGGGAAATAGGATCTCCCTGTCGAAGACTTCTCTCTGGGGTAATTGCCTAATCACTGATCCATGAAAAGGAATTGAATACTCGACTGTGGTAACACAATCTGACATTCCTGAATAAGTTGGATCCATTTGGAAGCAAAATTCATCACCTGTATCAGACTAAATAAAAAATCCCAATTCACTCCATCATAGACTTTGCTCATGTCCAATTTAAGGGCAATAAAACCCTCCTTACCTTGATTTTTACATTTAAGTAAATGGTGCGTTTCAAATGCAATCATTATATTATCCAAGATAGACCCCCTTAGAATAAAGGCGCTTTGATTGAGAGATACCAAATTTTTTAGAAGACCCTTTGGTCTATTAGCTAATATATTTGCAAAATTTTTGTAGAAGGCGCTTTAATTGTGCACTTTACATATCTATCTGTATCTATTTAATAATACATATATTTTCGTATATAATACTACATCCGTTCTAAAATAAGTGCAACATGTTGATTCTTATCATATTCACACGTTCTAAAATAAGTACAACATGTTTATTTATTAATATATTAATTTTTTTTAAAAACATTATTAAATTTGTCTCATTGTAAATTTTCAAAATCTGGTTTTATAATTTTTTCTCCTAATACAGAATTATATTTATTAATGGTCAAAATTGTACCTCGACAAATGTGAAAAGTTGTCTGTTACACCTATTTAAGAACAAATATATTCACATTGAATTACTTGTATACTCTAATCTCATTTCATTCACAAAGTCCAAGTACATTTTACTATTCATCTTCTAGTTCTTGATCTCTCATGTAAATTACGGAGTATATATATACTTAGAGAGGAAAGTTCATGTCAGGCCGGCCTGACGGGCTACTCCGTCCAGCCGAGCCCGTTTGAGCACCTTCCCGGTGGAATTTTTTGATGAAATTGTTTGAGCATGTTCCTCATCAAGTCTAGTTTGTCCATACCAAATTTCAGCTCAAAATTCGATCAGGAAGGCATTCAAATTATTTTTTGAAGTTGACTGCAGTCTTATATGTATATTTTGACGTAGTCAACTTCAAAAAATGATTTGAATGACTTCCCGATCGCATTTTGTGCTGAAATGTGATATGGACAAACTAGACTTGATGAGGAATATGCTCAAAAAATTTCATCAAAAAATTCCACCGGGAAGGTGCCCAAACGGGCTCGGCCAGACGGAGGTTCCCGTCAGGCCGGCCTGACGAGAAGAGTACTCTATACTTAGATACCAACTATCAAGTATCAATGTCATTTTATAGTAGTCATTTACCCTAGTACTACGTACTGACGGGCTGCTCCGTCCGGCCAAGCCCGTTTGGGCACCTTCCCGGTGGAATTTTTTGATGAAATTTTTTGAGCATGTTCCTCATCAAGTCTAGTTTGTCCATACCAAATTTAAGCTCAAAATTCGATTGGGACGACATTCAAATCATTTTTTGAAGTTGACTGCAGTTTTATATGTATATTTTGACGCAGTCAACTTCAAAAAATGTTTTGAATTCCTCCCCGATCGAATTTTGAGCTGAAATTTGGTATGGAAAAACTAGATTTGATGAGGAACATGCTCAAAAAATTTTATCAAAAAATTTCACCGGAAAGGTTCCTAAACGGACTCGGCCGGACGGAGGTTCCCGTCAGGCTGGCCTGACGAGAAGAGTACTCGTACTACGTATATGTGATTGTTAAAAAAAACGTATATGTGATTGTTTTATTCTTTTTTCCTTTCAAGACTAAAGCTAGACATCACGAATAAAATACATGTGGTATATAGTCAGCGTTACATGTTTGAATGTTGGTCGCACATAAAAAAATATTGTGACAAACATCGGAATTATTATTATAGGTGGACGTAGCAAGTGATAGCAGCATGTGTGGAAGAAAATTTGAGATTAGAACGAGAAAAACCTTGGAATTAATCGCAATCGAACTATTATTGATTACAGAGTATGTGTTTGATGGGTTTGCATCTACATTTTTTTTACCCCGGAAGTTTAATCACCAAAATCAATGGGGTAAATGTCGGGGAGCATTTATCAATTATTATTAAAAAACAAAAACGAAATACAATAACGAGAGGGCACTACAAAAAAACACGGAGTTAGTCACGGATTTAGTCACGGACTCTAGTATAAAAAATCCGTGACTAACTCTACTAGTCACGGACTTTTTCCGTGACTAAATCCGTGACTGTTTGGGCGTGACTAAATCTAGTCACAGCCGTTTTTCCGTGACTAAGCGTTGTCACGGATTAGTCACGGACCCTATCCGTGACTAATTTGTGACCGGAATAACCACACCGGCGACTTAGTCACGGATTGGTCCGTGACTACTTTTTCAAATTTCAAATGTGACCGCCAGTTTAAATTTTCAAAATTTTAAATTTAGTCACAGACGAGATCCGTGACTACTTTTAAAAAAAAAAACATTTTTAAAATTTTAAAATAATTTTAAAAAAACCGGTCTAGAATTTAGTCACGGCTTAGATCCGTGACTAAATTTTTTTATTTTAAAAAAAAAACATTTTTAAATTTTTAAAATAATTTAAAAAAAACCGGTCTAGAATTTAGTCGTGGCTTAGATCCGTGACAAAATTTTTTTATTTTAAAAAAAATTAAATTTATTTTTCAAATTTTCTTTAGAAAAATTTATTTTTAAAAAATCATTGTAGAATAAAAGTAATAAACAGACTACTAGAACACACATTTCATCCATAAACAGACTGAAATAAAAGTAATAATAAACATAATACAAATATAGTAAATAAACAATGTTCAATTAAAAATGTATATCGTTTACAAACTCCTCCGACTACCATTATGATAATATCTAGAATCATCGTATAGATAATCTTCTTCGGTCTCATCTTCTCGGTTGCTTCCACCTTGGCCTTCTCGGTTGCCACTGCGACTACCCCCTCCGCGACTGCCACCTCCGCGACTGCCTCCTCCTTGGCTGCCTCCAGATGTTTGAAACAGGTTATGAAAATTGATATCCTGAAAAGAACCATATGAAGGCAACCCGGAAGCAGAGTTGGAACGGAAATAACCGCCCATCTGCGGAACTTGAGGAGTCTGCTCGGGGTGCAGTGATAAGTCTGATTTGTTCATATATTTTCACTCACTTTTTATAGCGTTTCTTGTTAAACTCGGGGCAAATTGATACATTTTTCTGCATTTTTGTTGAATTTTTATTAATGTTTGAAATTAGTGTTGAAATTTACATTTGTGATTGATTTGTGTTTAATTCAAGTGTTTGTATTGATTTTGTGTTTTTTTTCACTTAATTGTACCTTTCTTATTTTGTGATTTTGAGTTTGATATCTTTTACTACAATAAACCAACGAATTAATGAAAAAAAACAAACAAAAAAAAAGATAAAACAAACCCAAAAAAAACTGCAGCAAGGCTGCGTCACAAAAAAGGCAAGCAAAATAAAAAGAAACAAAACAAAGGGGAGTACAAAATAATTGCAGCTCAGCTGCGAAAAAAGTCAAAACGAAAAGAAAAGGGAAAGAACCAGCCAGTTGCGGCACATGGGCGGCCAAACGAGAAGGGACATGAGCTCGATCCATCAGTCGCAGCCAAGGAAGAAAAGAAGATAAAAATCCCGGGAGAGCAGCTGGCCACAAGAAGAATACACACCCAGCTCCAATTCAAAGGAGGCAAAGGATTGAGCTGAAAATATACACCCGCAACACTCAGCCGCAAGGAGGAAAATATGTAGATCCAAGGACCGTAGGAAGCAACTAGCAGCAGGAATATCTATCCATTTACACTTGAATGTCTCTCCAGTCTCAATAAGTTTGATTTATCTTCTATCGTCTTTCAATTCTTGGCCTTGATGTTTTATGCTAGATTTCTTTCTTAGACTCATTGTTGAATAAGCTTATGAACTCGTTTCTTTTTTTGATTAACTCATCAGCTTCGAATATCTCTCCATTTACATTTGAATTGATGTGTACTAGTTCGAATTTCAGTTTAATTTTATGCCTGAATTATGTCACTGTTTTGTTTATTTGTGTTAGTTCCTTGATGAATATGTTAGGCTAATTCTCCATGGGGTTTGGATTTGGATAAAATTGAGGTTAATGGGTGTTCTTGAATATTGAATTGAATTTGGGAAAATTTTCTAGTTTTTAGGACTAGTTGGTTGAGATGAAATTGAAAGAGTAATTTGTGAAATTGATCACTTCACTTGTGAATTTTTGGAAGATTAATTCTTTCTTGTCTATGAGTTTGGAATTAATTTAGCTCACATCTCACACACCCTAAACTAAGCCTAGAAATAGGAATTAAAATCAAGTTCTTGTCTATGAGAATTAATATATCACTATTCTTAAATTGGAAAAAGTTTCCCATATTTGTTCATAGTCCAAAGACACCCAATATCCTTAATTCCAAATCTAGACCCCACTTTTAATTAACTAATTTTTCGTTACTAGTCACATTGAATTTACCTTTAAGTATTTTATTTTCGAAACTTTACTCATCCACATGTTTGCTAGTTTAATATTTTAATTAGTTAATTTTCTCTCTTTAGTTATTTTGCATGTTCACTAGTTTTAGTTTACTCAATAATGTCATTTATTAAAATTCCCCGCTACTAGTTTTGTGTTTAATTTTATTTACTTAACCATTATCACAATTAATCGATTGAGAAAGCTTGCAACGACTCGTACTAACCGGTGACCGATATCGAAACCAACACTTCCCTCCGCCACTCCTCAGAGACACGATACTCGGGGATAAACCGAAAGGTTAGACTCCGTTTTACTATAACGCCGCGAAAGCGGTTATCAAATGGCGCCGTTGCCGGGGAGTGGCACGGTCGTAAGTTGGTTTTTATTATTGGCATAGGCGAACCCGAGTTAGTGAGACTTTTTCCTTTACTTTCTGTTTTTTTTTTATCACTCTCATTTGCTCTCTATCCTGAAAGAACATTGAGAGGGCCTGGACAGAAAATTCATCAGGATGAGGGAAAGCGAGAGCAGAACAGTGCTTGAAACATTGACCTTGGACTTTTCCGAGGAAGATAGCATCATCGTTCCGGCAATCGATGTCACTGATTTTGAAATTAATCCTGATATTATTCAAGTGATATCGATTAATCAATTTGGCGGTTTAAAACATGAAGATCCCAGGGTGCATATGTTGTGGTTTAATAGAACGTGTCAAACATTCCGGATCAGTGGAGTCTCAATTGACACCGTGAAGCTTATCTTATTCCCATTCTCTCTTCGGGATAAGGCTATTCGGTGGTTGAACTCTTTTTCGCCAGGTCACTTCACCACTTGGAATGCTCTTCACCGGGCATTTATGCATGAGTATT